ACAGAATCGTTAAAATACTACGGTGGCCGACAGGTGCAAACGCGCAGCAAACACGAGAAAAACAAATAGAACAAAGAAAAGACGCAAACAAAAAAGACATGCAAAAAATATATAAAAATAAGTGTTTCAGACCACTAGAGCTTTGTGTCCGAATTCAGGGTCTGCATCCTTTCAAGCTTATTCTTTCGTGGGCTTGAGAAACGACCCGGTCTACGGAAGAGGCCCACATGTGCTCTCTGCGAAGGCAGAGAGCATTGCAGAGAGAAGCTGTAGCCTTTAGCTAGCTGCCTAGCCTCCACCAAGGCGTTATGTTGCTTAGCAACCGTGACACAACATGATTTAAACAATGTTTGTAGGCGAGAATGTAGATGTATAAATCTCACATTTCTACTCGGTTCATCAGTGCATCACCTAATTGCAATATTGCTCCGACGTTTTCGGAAATGTCTGCTCCCGCTGCATTAACACCCAGCTCCCCTCGCCTGCTGCCTGCTGGTCCAGGTTTAGTATACCACGGGAGAACACCTGACTCATTTGGGCTTTCCTAAATGACAGTTAAACACAGATATTAAGTCAGGTAACATCTAGTTGTAATATTTTGGTTCACTAAAATATTTCATTTATTCCTGAGCAAATCGGTTTGACTGATTAAAGTTAAGCCTAAAAATACAATAGTTTGATTAAACTGTATTGTCTTACCTGAGATCTGGAGAGTATTTGAAAAGGGATACTTTGCTTACATTCCTTGTGTAAATGTGCTATACGTGTTTGAACATTTTAGAACCAGACTAACAGATTTTTTAAATATGCAACAGCCTTTAATACGAAAAGTGAAGAGTAATAGAGAAATCAGGAGAAAAAAAATATTTTGAGTCCGTTTTTTTTCTTCGCCACTACGTGATTCACGTTGTCACGGTTGCTAAGCAACATAACGCCAAGGTAGAGGCTAAGCAGCTAGGTGAAAGCTACAGCTTCTCTCTTCCGGTCGTCAAGGACCCAAAGATGCAAAACCTGATTTCGGACACAGCTGTTCTTTGTTCGACTCCCTCTAGTGGTCTGGATCACTTCTGTTTTCAGCATTTTTTGTTTGCATCTCTTTTTTGTTGCATGTGTTTTTCTCGTCTTTGCTGGGTGTTTGTACCTGTTGGCCACCGTAAAATACAGTGGTGAAAGTAAATATACCTTCAAATACTGGCATCTGTAGGTTCCAGTATTTTTACTGTAAATTTAGTTTTACTACTGCATTCACTTTATGAGTAAACTACTGCCAAGAAAACTGTAATGCTACTTTTTAAAGTACAGTCTTAGTTTTACGATAGAACATTAATACCTGACCCAGTGTAGGCTTCTTAGAAGTGGTACAATTGGTGCGGTTCTAAAATGCATAATCTGCATAATCAGAACTTCACACAACACAAAAGAGGATGTGATAAGTAACCGTCAGAACAGAATTTTTATTTAAAGGCATCACATGCCTCAAACCACATATATTTCCAGTATATTCAAACATTCAAAACAAATAACACAAAACCATTCCTCAGAGAACTGGTATAAAATAGGCCTTCAAAGTCAATATATAGTTTCACCAACACTGGAATAAAAATTGAAGACTTTCAGTTTACAGTGACATAAACTGGGTTTAACTCATTAATTTCTACAATCTTATGAACATAAAAACACAGTTCTTAAAGAAATATCCATGCTTTGGGTATCACTAAACAAATCAAAGAAAAATGACTTCCAAAATCTAAAATTCAACATGGCTGAAATAATGTGGAATTCTAGTATTAACAGGGTTTTAAAATGTGAACTATTAATGGTTTTCAAGAGTCCAAGTGGCACTTACTTTATTAGATGCAGATGAAGGCACCGTCCAACATGGAAAAAGAAAAGACAATACAATTTAGATCCTAAATAATATGGAAACAGAAAGATTTCAAAGAAAAGAAAAGAACAACTAACCTGAATGAGATGCCACTCAAAGTCCATCAGGTTTTTGATGAGGGTGGAAACCTGAACATTGACCGTCACTTTTTCTTTTGAATGGTCTTTCTTGTCTTTTTGGATACCATCTTCCCATGACCAGCTTTTGTGCCCCTTTCTGGGTTAATCCCAATGAAGCGACTAAAAAACTAAATCAAAAATGGGAAAATTCCTGAGAATACAAATAGTGTGGCATTTTGAATACAGCTGGTACAATATATAAATAAAGCTGTTTTTAATTACGTAAAGAGAAAACATCACCACCTTTGTCAAATGTCAATCATAACTTGCTTTAGTACTTTAAAACCATGTCATTGTAAAAAAAAATATAGGAATGGTTTTACTGTTGAATGAACTCCAAAGTCTTGGCTGCCTCATGTTGATATTGGAGGTTGAAGATGAAGAAGATGGACAACACTGTCCAGCCTGGAATGTTGGCTGGACCCTCTCAAAGACAATATGGCCTTCAATGCTGACCATGCAGAAAACTGCTTGCCACAGGGACTGTAATAAACCAAGTCCTTAATTGGAAGAACATAAAACAAATCCTCTTATGCATTTAAATGATCATCATAATAAAGAGTGTCCACTCTGCCAGGTAAAGTAAAAGCAAGGATCTTAAACTCCTCAATTGTCGTGCAAGTCACATCAATGTTGAAAACTGTAGGCTGGATTAATTTACAGATGTTGTAGAGGAATTCGTGGTACTTTGTACTGAAGGTGAAGTGTCTTTGGTGCTGCTCTTGTTTTCACTGAGTTTTCACAGCCCCAGGAAGGGCTGTCCTGGTTGCACGGCAATGAGGAAGGCTTCAACACTGGCTTGCATCTTTGACATAATGATAAGAAGACAAATAATAAAAATTATTAAATATATTTAGCAGCACAGCTACATTCAGATAGCAAACAAAGCCAATGAGAAAGTGCTTCTACAAAGAAGTAGGATCATTAGAATAACCACATACCTGCACATATCTGAAAACATGGTCCACAGTTTGACATGAGCTGTTTTGGATTCTTGTGGCCTTTGGATGTAGGACGAAGCACATGAACCAACAGAAGAATGCCTGGTTTTCCCAGCCTGGAGGAACAACAGGATAAATAGCAGACACATTAGGATAATAAATAAACATAAGAAAAAAATAGGCAGCCAATATGTCATTGTTTATTATCATTATTATTTATAGAGACAAAAACATTTTGGCTCAGCTTTGATCGCATAGATCAAACCACCGGTCCAGCACAGCCACTCTCCCCATTATGCTGTCTACAGCCGAAAACTTCAAGAAAACGACTCCGCAGCTAAATAATGTTAACTCAAACGGCCTTTCTGACAGTTTTAATGTTTGTTTAACGACCCGATACCCAGTGCTACACCTGCTTGGCTAGCTTTAGCTGCTAACAAAAATAATAAACCAAGGGTGCTCACATCCAGTCCTCGAGAGCTATCGTCCTGCAACTTTTCGATGCATCTTTACTCCAACAGACCAGGATCAGCTCCGAACAGACCTGCTAACCAGCCATTCATTTGATTCAGGTGTGTTAATTGACACGGGGAAGCATCTGAAAGTTGCAGGATGGCAGCTCTCAAGGACTGGACTTGAGTTCCCTGTACTGAACAGTCGTACCGTGATATCCAAACAAATAAACTTATGTTAAGCATTAGTTGATACTCTTGCGCAAAGAGAAGGTTAATGCATTCATAAAAAATAATCAAAATCAAAAACATGATGGT